TACTGATTTTGAGGCAGATTATAGGCAATTATTTTCACATAAGTTTTAGATTTAAAATTTTTCTTTTCGTTGCTCCATACAGTTCATCGGGTACGATTGTGACAGGATACGGTAGTGACATTCGTCATAACAGCTAAAGTATACAGGTTTTGATATAAGGTCTGAAGCGAGCAAGATGCAGTATGTTTATTTGAACAAGTTGCCATTATTGCATTGAGTTAGTGCCCTACATTAACATGATCCCTATACCGCGTTGCTTTGCAGAGTCCAAAAAAGTTCTTTTGGTCGATTTTTTCTAATAATAACTGTTATATGTATACAGATCACTTTGTAACTTTGCTAAGTTGAACAGTAGTGCTTAATTACTAGCAATTAATTTTTTGCAGATAATATAGCCTTATCATGACGATGATTTGTTTTCAAAAGTATGCGTTGGGTACGGTTGTGACATGTGGTTTTGGGTCTTATCCTTTTCGGGTGAAGATTAAACAAATTAAGAAAAATCTAACTTAACTAAGACGGAATATGAAAGACAAAGGAAAAGGTTTGATCAAAGAAAAAAAAAGGTTTCATAAAAGTTTCTTGTTAATTTGTTTGAAAAATTATGTTTTTTTAATGATTATGTTGTGTTGTTAAATATTTCTGACAATGAAAGTCGTTATCATTTTGGTGTTCATACCTATTTTTTCTAAACCTACTTTTATGCATATCTCAACTGTCCTGAGGACAATAAAATGACACAAAGATTTTTTTTTATATTTCACCATATAATTTACAACTGTCTTTAGTCGGCATCTAGTAAATTTAAAGATATTATAATTAGATTACATATGACAAATAAATTGACAATAGTAGAAGTAGCCAGTGTTACTTCTACTTCAAATACAAAATACATTTGTTTGGGAAAATTACATTACATATTACAAATATAGCGACTTTTTGTGAAGTCCTCAGAATTTTTTTTATCGATTTTTAGAACATATCCAAAGGATAGCTATTATACTAGTAGTATAAACGGAGGTTTATTAGATGTGATAATTTACTTACCGGTTCTGTGTATTTTATTTTATTTAAATTACAAATCAACAAAGTGTTACTGGTCTCTTTCATCCACCAAACCCCTTTCAGAAAAATTAAATATAGAAAGAAAAGGATTTATGTTAGACGTGTTCGTACAATACGGGATTGTCCTAAATAAATAACGCAGAAGCGAAACAATGCGTGGAATTCGTTGTGGTATTACATATAAGCTCGGTTCCGAACGAAAAAATTTATTCCACTATATGTTTTCGTCTTGAATGTTAAAAAATGCAAAATTCCACGAAAGCATGAAATATAGACGCATGTCACGCGGAATATAATTTCAGAATTTATCTTCTAGATTATGTTTATAAATAAATGAGTTACAATTGGAAGGTGAATCACTTCTTCGCATGGAACATGATTTTTGAATCAATTTTCAATGAGTTTTGAGTCAATTTTTTTAATAGCTCAATTAAAGCATATTAAAAAGACAGTTATTCCAAATGTAATAAAGCAATTTGAAAATAGTTCTTAATGAATATAAGTATGCGATGAAAAACGCTGAAAAACGTTTACTATGTATAGGGAAGATTTGTTGCGCTTTGTGCCTTTTTTTTTGTTTTTGATTAGCAATAATCTTGTAAATTAGTTAGCTGGGAGAAAAGTAAATTTGATAGTGATTTAGACAATTGTATACGTGAAAATACTAAAATGTTTGCCTTAAATACTTTTTTTTTAATATTAGCGCCTATTCTATCCTGATCTTTAGCAAATTTTTAGTCGTACTTAAAAAAATGACAACGTAACATAGTCATTTGAATGAAGTTTATGAATGTAATATAACAATTTATAATAAAACATAATTTTTCAAACAAAATTAACAAGAAATTTTTTTGAAAGTTTTTTTAATTGAATTTTTCTTTCCCTTTCTTTTTCGTATTTTGTCTTAGTTTAGTTTGTCTTAGTTAGATTTTTTTTCTGACAAGAAATACATGTCAACCGAATCCAAAAAAAATTCACAAATCGTTATGTCTTTGCTAAACTATTTAAGCAAAAACTAATTCCTAGTAATTAACTACTGATGTTCAACTTACAGCAAAATAACAAAGAACGTGTTCGTTCTACATACAAATAACAGTTATTATTAAAATAAATCGAACAAAAAATCTTACTTTTTAAATCTCGGTAAAATCAATGCGGTCTACAGGTCATGTTAATGTAAAGCGCTGACTTAGTGCAATATTGGAAACTTGTTCGAACAAACATACATCTTTTTTTTTCTTGAACCCTATCTCAAAATCAGTATAATTTAGCTGTTATGACGATTGTACCAAGGCACAACTGCAGCCAGTCTCTTCTATAATTTGCCAATTTTTATAAGCATTTTGTTAAATCATAAAAACTAAATGTTTTTATACTTATAATTATATAATATATAATATGAAAAAACTGAGCTTTCCCGTAATCTGGTGGTAAGGGTTATGTACTTTGATCAGTTGTTGGTCTCAAAATACCTGTCTCGGACAGCCTGATGTCAAGCAGCAGTGACATTCGTTTTCACTTGAAAATATATATTGCAATATTACTTATAATGGAATTATGGTAGAAGACGGTCCGTTACCTTTTAACTTAATTATGTTAATTTCTAGTGTGATTTTCTAATATACTTCGATTTGGAAATTATTATTAATTAATTAATTTCTATTTATTGTACTTTGATTGTATGAATAATGTATTTATAGCATCTTAGATCTATTTGAAATCAAATATCGTTGACGAAGAGAATCGTTTTCATTTATCTGAAGACTCTCATCAAAGGAATAACTATGTTCCTGACAAGCATTCCGCCTTATGTTCAAATTCAATTATCGTGTTGAACAAAAGATGTTCCAAATCGATATTTAGGCACATTGAATTTGGACCCATTCTGATCGAGACATCCCATTTCTCCTATAGAAGACACAATACAAAGAAATATATAAATACATATACGTATACACACATATATATATATATATATATATATATTAGGGTGGTCCTTAAAATGGTCATTTTTGAATTTCCTTGCTCCCAGGGGCTCAAATGGTTCCAAATAGATAAAAAACAATTCTCTGAAAATTTTAGCTCTTAATATTAACGTTTAGATAGAGCGCAATTCAATCAAAGTTTTGTATGGAAATAGCATGAAAAAATTTTCAAAAATTTTAAAAATGTTTTTTCAATGTAATTTAGCGAACAAATAAATGAATAAAACTCATTCATTTGTCGCTAAGTTATACTTAAAACATTTTTTTTTAATTTTCAAAAATTTTTCCATGCTATTTCCATACAAACTTTGATTGAATTGCGTTCTATCTAAACGTTAATATTGAGAGCTAAAACTTTCAGAGAATTGTTTTTTATCAATTTGGAACCATTTGATCCCCTGGGAGCAAGGAAATTCGAAAATGACTATTTTAAGGACCACCCTAATATATATATATATATAAAAGAAAATATGACGTAATACCAAATACCATATAACACATTTATGAAAGTCACTTGTTATTTATAGTAAATTTTGTACTGCACTCTTTTATTCAATACTTTAATAATTTTTTCTTCAGTTTAAAAAAAACACATTTAAATCAATAGTATTGAACTGCTGCTTAATCCATCAAATTTCAATCCAGATTTTATTTATTTTTGGATTGATATAATTTTTTATAAAAAAAGGATTCAAATGTTGGTTAATCAGGTGAATTTTAATAAAATCCGCAGCAACGCGTGGTCGGGTATGCTAGTATATATATATATATATATATATATATACTCGTATATACTATATTGTATCGTGAATTGAAAGATAAGTAAGAATGAAAAAATATGAGCAAGATAATTTACTTATTAATAAAAAGATTAAATTTTTAAAGAACATTAGATATAATTACAATAATTTCAATTATGAGAAATAGCTTACGCAGTTACACGCAATTTCGTCGTCAAATATTTGAAAATATTTGTTACAAAATTGAAAATCGAAGAATTTGGTTGTTTTGCCCTGAAATCATAATTTTTACAGAACTATCGTCAATGCAGAATTAGTATAGAATATATGAATATATTAGATAACTAAACCCAGAGTAGAACTTAGCATGATTTTTGTTTATCTTTTATATGGTGAATATTATGTTCAATTCGAATAACATATAATTGATTTTATCATTTATCATTATCATTTCTGTACTTGTCACCACCATATGCTATGCAGAATAACAATTAAAAATTCGTTTTGTTGTTCAAATTGCCATAGAAAAACTGAGAGTGGCCTTTTTATTTGTATTATTCTATATATATGAATGCACAAAACTATTTTTAGCATTTTTCAAAACAAAAGTAATATATTTTAAAAAATAATATCAAATACTTCAACTAAAAACAAAAAAATTATGGAGATTATTATTTTAATAAACAAGAATCTGATTAAACTAGAATTAATCATTTATATTTATTATTCAAGTGCTTTCTATAATTTTGCCTCAAGTATTAGTCGTTAAGTACTTACATGCTCTTTTTTTATAACTAAATTTATTAAATTGATTTATTTCCAATATATGTATTTATTGCATTTTAAAACCTATATTACAATAATGTAACTATAGTATTTTGCGACCAAGTGTTATCAAAAACAAATCCTAAAACGGATAAATAAAAAGTACTTTCCTGAATATTAGATATGAACAATTATCTGTGAAAATATGTGAACACTCGTCTACCTAATATTTTTTAAAAGCTTTCAATATACCATATAGTATATAGATTTAAATAGTTTTCGTAGTTTTTGCCAATATTTGTTTTATATATTTTAAATCTCATTTTGACTCTGGTTTTTAAAATAAGCTACTGAACAATAATAAAAATAGATAAAAATATGAATTTTAAATGGTGTTGTTTTAAGTACGATATACGTTTCCTCTTCTCAATGAAACTACAGTGTTATGGAGCATCAAAAAGTTTTGAGAATCCTACTATTTTTAAATATTTTCATAATCCTTTTCACTCTCGCATTCAAAACTGGTAAAAAATTGGAACAAAATGATGAACGCCTTAAGAAAACTGCAGAAGTCGCCAGATACATGATTCACAATATAAATTGGGCAACTGTTGTTACATTTTTGTCAACAAAAAAATTATGTGTTGATTCGGAGTTCTCAAAATCTGTTTTTGGGAGTATAAAATCTATAGCAGATGGAACCAGGAATAAAAGTACAGGTATTCCGTACTTCTATTTACAAAAAAATGAGCCAATGTTAGAAAATTTAAGGTTAGATAACAGAACAGCTTTGACAGTAACCATTGATCAAACAAAATATTGTCAAAAATTGGGAATTGACACTGTGGAACCAAAATGCAGCAGAGTGATTTTAATGGGAAGAACTCAAAAATTAAATTTAACGAGTGAGGAATTCGATTTTGCCAGGAGTGCTTTGAAGGAAAGCCATCCCCATTTGGAAGAAAATTTTAATGAGAAGTTCTTGATTGCTAAGTTGGTTGTTGAAAATATTAAAGTGGTGGATGGACCTGGTGGTTTGAGAAATTTGCCTTTGGATTTATATTACAAGGCGGAACCTATTTGGAAAGACGATGATCCTTAATTTTAGCATTTGCATGTTATATTACAATATTTTTTGTAAATGATAATCTTTTTCAAAAGTTTTCATGGATTTGTATGTTATATGAAATTCAAAGTTAGTATGTGTAATAAAAGTTATTTTGATAATTTTTAAAATAATATTCAGTAATAAGTGAAATTGAATATGATTACAATATATCAAGTTTAAAACTATATTTAATGTTTCTTTGAATTTTAAGCTTGTTCGGTGAGAAGTTAATCTTATACTTAGTCATGAACTGTTGAAATTAATTTATTATTTTCATCTTGTAATAAAAATAATCATTTGCCAATATATAGCATCTAAAATCTTCTGAATTCAATGCAAACTTTACGACAAACGTATGATAAGATTTAAATCCACATATTACATTTTTTATATAGAACGAAAGGATCTTTATTGCGATATTTTCGTTCTCCATTTCATATCACATTTTATAGCGTTCCTTTCTTGAAATTTTCTAATATAAATATATATACCAATAATATTGTTTACGATGTCTCGCTTTTATGTCAATATTCGAGATTTCATAGAAACCCTTACATGCTTTCGTATATGCAACAGCCTTTGATTCACATCAAAGATGAAATTTCTATGAAAAATTTATAAGATAGAAATATATATATTTATATATATATATATATATATATATATATATATATTTTATATATAATATAATTTATATTATATTATATATTTATATATAATATAATTTATATAATATAAACCACATATATAGCAGTTGCTTGGAAATATATTCCCAATTTTCATAAAACACTAAGTTAGATGAATGTATACATAAATGTGCATACATGATTATTCGAAGCATTAAAGTGAAAAAATAGTTCATTGTATTTATATTTGTTTATATCATTAAATTTATAGGCGCAACCTTCAATGTGCGAGAGAGAAACATTTGAACATTTTTACTCGAACATTTTCAATAATAAAATTACAATTTTATTCAAGTATTTTACCATTTTATAAAAGTTAACTAGTTATTTAATAAAAGTTAACCACAATAACGTATAAATAGTCATAATTTCACTAAAGCTCTAGGTTGCATTTAAAAGCTCATAATTTCATTAAGTATTTTCAGGACAGTTAAGGTCAATATCAGCCTATTTTCGCTTGACATTAAGTTCTGGGATACCCTGTATATATTATGTATTGATATATATAACTAGTGAGGCGCATGGCATCGTGCCTGAAGGCAAATTGCTGGAACTTCCCGTACTAAAAATTATTATTTTTTTAAAAACGATTAACGTTTTTGAAAAAAATTTACTTCAAAAAAATTAGATTTTTGAGAAACTATAAATTTGACAGAAAATTACTTTATTTTTGAAAAAAAAAATTATTAAAAAAAAAATGTTTACTTTATTTTGACATATTGTGGAAATTCTGAACTTTTTTTTCAAAGCAATCGTACTGCTTTAACTGCATAGAGACGAAATGTCAAAGCGCGTAAGCGCCGCATTGCCGTCTAACGAATAAACATTGGTACGGAACTCATAGGAATGTAAGCAAAATTTAACTTATTGTTAATCATCTCATAAAAATATCAGATAATTTGATGTGCATATGTCTAATGATCATTTTTGACCGCCAAATGGAATTTTTTTTTACTTTTTTTATTAGATCTCCGAAACCTTCATGAAAATTTGATCAATTCATCTTGTTAAAACAAGTAAAATGTTTTTTGAATTATTCAAATCGGATGCTCCGTTCTCTTAAAAACCAAGTCACCATTTTTGGCACTTTTTGCCCCGTATCTTCGCAACGGCTAGACCTGCCTTTGCCAAAAACTAATAAGCACGTCTCCTTATCAATACGAATCGAATGTTTTTTGAATTATTCAAATCGATTGATCGGTGTTCCCGAAATCGTCGACGAAAATTTGTATCCGCACACTCACACGCGCACACACACACATACACACACATACATCCATTTTTTCTAAGGTATGCCAAAATACTCAGAAACCTTTGAAACGTAAAGAATATTAAAATTTTCATTTTTGATTTTTTTGCGATAACTATAACTTATACACTATTACTAATAGTAATAGTTATATTTCCAATTAGTGTCCCAGCTATAACCCTAATTTGAATTTTAGACAAAGTAAAATTTAGTTTAAGAAAGTTTATACCCAATTCTACACTATGGATTTTCTCTTTGATAACATATATGTGCTATAAAATATTCATAGCAGTCACCACGTTTGATATTAGCATTGCTATAAACACCAGCAATTGGATTGTGGAATATGGAATATGGAATTTCATTTACATATTTGAATTCAGATGCAACTCTCATAACTCGGGCATGGGAATACATCATCAAGGGATTGAGGATTCTATCTCATAATAAATATTTTAATCATACTACTAGTATTATGGAGTTTATTTGAAAATTTATTTATTTAGTTGAAATAATTAAATAGTTACAAAAAAGTTATATAATGATTGGCGCGACCAGCCAGAAGTAATTGCAATTTACCCAAGAGAGCGAGGCAATTTTTGTAAGATAATTTGAAATACCTCGATTTTTCTTGTACGTATATATATATATATATATATATATATATATATATATCTTCGAATCATGTGCAAAGTTGTATTACACAGACATTTGCGCATCATTGCGTTTGGAAGCATCTGGGAGCTTTTAATGGTTTTCGTACTACTTGTAA